AATCAGCGTGGCAGTGTCTCATGGCTTACAATTTTGATGAGCTGGCTCGTATGCACCATGATGGGATTTTTCCAATACTCTGTTTATTCAGCTACCTCCCCCTTCATCGTACTGCTTCTCTTTTTTTGACCTCCTTTTCTCCTCTTGTCATGTTCTTCTCTTCTATTCTCTTCTACGTGACTACGTCACATTATTCTGATTCTTCTTTCACCTTTTTTTCACCCTTCTTCTCTTCATTCTTCTTCTTCTTCTTCTCCATACTTTTGATCTTCCTATACCCTCCTTACCTGTTAATTTATATTCTTATTTCTTCTTAGTGGTCGCTGAATCGACAACAGAGATTTTACCCTTCTTATTCACTCCTTACACTCAAAATTCATGGCGTGTGACTATCTGGTTGATATTATTTCCAGGGCATAGGTTGAATACCAGTTGTTTATGTTTCTAATTAACTGACCTTAATCTGAAATTGTACGAAGTGAACTGAGAGCAAGATTACCATTTTATACCTTGACAAGGACGAGCAAGGACACCATGTGATGGCCAGGTATCAAAAGGCTTCTAGTTCCGTCAAAGGAGGCTCGAGCCCCTAATCAGAGATCAGAGTCTTGCTTCCAAAGTGTTGTAGACGGAGTTACATATAAGTCAGGTCACATGTAATGTTGATTCTGTGTTGGTACTTGCCTGCTGTTGTATTGGCTGAGGGGGTCGTGCGGCATCATGTGGAAGTGATCCTTCAGGATTCAGTCCCAGATTGATTCATGTTTGTTCGTATGCTCTAGGCTTTTGCCTGATATTAAGGAACAAGGCTATGCATTATATGTTAGTAGCCCAGTTCTATATTTCACACTATACCCAGCGGCCGTAGGTGATATGTCAGAAGATGTATGGATGGAAATCCACTTGTGCCATTCCTTGCTACCTATCCATACATGACAAACTCCGTCATATGCAGTCGCCCCCAATACCACAACGCTAGGAACGGAAACGTAGGTACTCTAACAGACAAGTCCGGAACAAAAGAAATCCTTTCTCGTAGAATCAAAACCTAGTATAGAATCCAACATGATAAATCGTCAGACATGCCACCCGAACAACACAGGGAAAAAAAAAGTAATCCGGCCAAACGATAGAGGGCATCGGTCTGATCATGTCTCTTTCGGAGCATGGGTTGCGTTCCGCCTCCTCTTCCCAGGAGGTGGCGGCTCAAGCCGCGGCGCACGCTTGAACGTAATCGTAGTCGTCACCACATGCCGTACACTGACCTCCCCGTTCTGGCTAACTGGCGACTCAACCCGACGAACCATCCACTCCGACGGTGAGTACGGCGAGTGCAGCGACCGGCCTGACAGCGACTGCGCGCTGCGCGGCGTCGCAATCGCCGACGCAGGCGAGATGTGATACGGTGGTGGGATTCGCAGCCGCCGGAGATGGTCTGGGCTTCTTGCCGTTGCGGAGCAAGGAGTAGCAGGCGTAAGAGGAGGAAGCGTCACTGGTGTGCATTTGCGGCTGCTGGTGGTGGTGCTGCAGAAGAACGAGGAGCTGATTGCGCTAGACGGCGCTGATGTTGGTGAACGGCGGGGTTTGTCTAGCATGTACTTTGCAAAGCTAGCGCGGGAGTTTGTTGAGGAGGTGAAGATGGGGCTGAAGGTGTCGAGGAACTCGGTGTATGCTGGAGGAGGTGTGATAGTTTCTGTTTGGTCTTCGCTGGGTTCATGTTTCTTGTCTTCTATGCTGGCGTCGAGGTATCTTGTGGTGTGTGGCTCACGCAGCTCGGAGGGAAAGGTCAGGTCTTTTGCCACGCTTGCTGGCAGGCCCGGCTTGGGAGCCATCGTCGTGTTGAGGAGCAGGAGAGGAGGTAGAGAGTGCAACAATTAGGTGGTATGAGGCTTGGGATGCTCTGATGGTAGGTCAAATGTACGGCTGGTTGTAGGTGCAAATGCTGGCGGAGAGGTGTAGTGATGAATTGAATGATAGAAAGATTTGCTTCTTGGGAATGACTCCCCACTGCGGAGTGATAAGTCCAAAAAATAGCCCCTCAAAGATCTAGTGATAAAGACTGGATGCAGGTGCTGTTTCTATAGTAGACCGATGATGATGTTGTAAGATTGCGTAATTAATGCTGTACCAGACAGTATCAATACACACGTACTAGATCAAGCCAGAATAAGTTAGCCTGCTCAGCTGGCCAAAATAGCAACGCCACTTGATCCACACGTACAAGGCCAAACTGCTAAAGAAAGACCAGATTTAGGGATCTTGGCCTATCTGGTTGTTTTTCTGGACGCTCAACCTCTTGCACAGCCTGCTCGGTTGTGTGCGATGGTAAAAAGGATTCAAGTGGCGCAGGGCAGGATCGTCCTGATCAGAAAACGGTATACCGGTCTCTCTTCTGAGGCGGTCAATCAGCCCAGCTGTTCACCTGGAGATGACCGTACTTGACTTGTGGAAATGTGCAACGCATAAGCTTAGCACTTGGAAAGTTCAATGACCAAACGGGTTTGCGATGAATATATACTACTATCCACTTGGGATCTTTGCCCCCACAGGTCATGTTGAAACCGACAGAGGACGTAAAGCAAAAGACTGGACATTCAACAAGCAACTTTGCGCGCGGCCGAATCACGTCTCAGATAGTCGTCTCTATCCTTCATTCCCTGTTCCTCTCGATTGTTTTGATACATTGAACTGCGTTTGGGGGCCAATATATCCATCGTTCGTTCAAAGCGCGCGGTACTCTCAGGCTATGGTTTATTCCCCGACACGGTCATGGTGATTTCAAACTTCGGATACGGTTTTCTACACCCTTAGATCAACGCAAAAGACCCAATTGCAAATGTGTCCCGAAACGATCCACCATGGGACCTCTAACGAGAGCCAATCAAACATGCACGGTCCAATCATGTTGTGTAGATCAGCGTATTCAGGCACGGGTTTCATGGGTAGCTCCCTAATAACGCTTCTATCTCAAGTTTAATCTCCCGTATGATATGCGCTTTTGCGGGGAAGCGCCTGAAAGGTCTGCAGGACATCGAATGCTTCTATTCGCGGTGAAACATCTTATCTAGTGTGCGTATAGTTGCAGTGTTTCGGGTAGCAGTCTACAGTGCTCAGTGATACTCTTTCCATACACTGTTTGCGAGGAGGCACCCCACAACTGGTTCTAGTTTCTTGCTTGAATGAAATGTTGTTCATTCATCTCGGCGAGACGCTGTAAAATGAAGGTTCAGAGGCCCTACATAGCAGGATATCTCATTGCATTTTGAGCTAGTCAACTGAGGATCTATTTTTGGACTGTCACGATCCATACAAAGAGCCTAGCGCTAACATAATGAGATGCACAAGAACACTTCTTTAAGCGCCGGTCACCTGGAGTTTATGCTTCATCAAGATATTTTAAGGGTTTGATTCAGGGACGCCTGTCTTTCGTCGAGCCTTGATTCCTTAACATACCATCCTCTTAGTAGTATACGAGTATACGGTGGCAACTCGATGATCTTGCTATGCCAATTGAGTTTGCGCTTGAACTATCCCTATAAGAGGCCCTGCGCAAAAAAGTCCATGATGAGCTCATAAGCACGAGATATTAGGATCGTAATGCAAGCAAGTCTATAAAAAGAAACCCTCTAACCCGACAAATCAACTCACAATGAGATCTGCATATTTAAACGCTGTGGTTAAGAAGCAGCCCAGTCAAATTAATGAAAGACTATTACTGATAAAAGTCCGAGTCGATCTAATTTTGCCCACCCATGGCCTTACACATTTCCCCAGGCGAAACCAGCCAATCCGGGTCCGCGGCTGTATTGGTCGCGGCTGCAGTGTTCTTTTTTTAGGGGTCCGGCTGCACAGTCACCCGGGACTACCGCGGTGACAGGGATCCTGACCCGGGCTATTTTTGGATCATCAACCTCACCTCACCTCTACATGTAGTGGGCATATTACTACACAGGGCCAGATAACCAGTCCATTTAAGAAATAAGAACAGACAGCAAGAAGCAGTGCTTGGGATTTCCCCTCTTCTTGATCGAAGCTTCAATATTTGGTATTACCCATCATCAACGGCACCTCAGGTAGACACCACGAAGTACTCCATATCCTAATACCATCGTGAAAGGAAGGATCCAAGTTGCAACTGCAAGTGCAGAAAGGGCGTAACGCTGCCCGAACCCGATTCAAAGCTAGTCATACCAATCTGCCTCTCTCACTGGCTGAATGAGATATCCTCCCCTGCGCTAGGGGGTCTCTGCTGTCAACCTTGAAACACCCGAATGACCAAGCACAGCAAAGTAGACCACATTGCATGTCAACACAATCTCCATGCGCACCATCAGAAACTCTCCGGTGCATCGCAGACTTCTATTCTTATCCTGCCTATATGCAGGTTAATCATTTAGCACTTGAGATCACCCTGCTTCGGTGCTTCCTTTGGGATAGGTAGTTCTTCACAAAAGTGATAAGTGCTCGGCAATGTGCTGTTATTGGATCATGTCGTTGGCCTGACACGCACGACCATCACTTTGCGTCTAATTTTCTTTCTTGCTCTCACTCAATCAGATCGTAGCTCTGCCGCTTGTCATTTCTCCTGTTTATAGGTTATAGATAATTATAGCATCGTCAGCACCTGCACAGCGCTTCTGTACGACTTGAGAATCCTCAGTGCAATGGAGTACGTGAGCACATACTTGGGCTGAACGGTATGATACAATACAATACATCCTGGTAAATACATGCCCTACATCAACTGTCGAGCTGTCGCGCCTCATTTGATCTCCGACGTGCCGCTCGCATGTTGTAGACCATAATCCTATTCTCTGCCACGTGTCGGCAATGAAGCCTCCCATGAATAGCTGGCTGAATGTCCTCAAGGCTGTCTACTGCAGCAATGAAAACTGACGCCATTCTTCTATACTGACAGAGATGAATAATGAGCAGCTTACGAGTTCATCGGAGGCTTGAAAGTCTTGGGTATTCCACTCGACTATTCAGAGACCTTCCTTACAGACATAAAGTCAAATGCAGGTTATCATGGACACCCAAAAGGTAACCAATTTGAAGAACAAGACCGTAGCCAAAGGTGCGATGAAGAATGACTAACCTCCCACCACTGAGAACGTACAGGTCATCCATATCCAAGATCCCACACCGGCCGCTGACCAAATAACATTATAAAGCATGATTAGGTGATTTATAAACAGGTATATACGTCATAAAAAAAATATCAGATGCAGACAAGGTGATATAAACTCGGGAAATCCGTGGTATCATGCTGCGCCGTCATTCTCGAACAAAGTGGTATCATAACAAGAAAAAGCCTGCCAACTCAGCCGGGTAACCAGAGAGAAGAACGAATATTAGGTAAAAAGGGGGTTGAAAAAGGGGTAACTGAATAATCAAACAGTAGAATAAGGGGAAAGGTAAACCAAGAAGAAGAGAGAATAATCCAAATAACTGACTACTCCTCTGTCAAGGCGTCGTCTCCAGTCTCGCGCCACTCTTTTGACCGCTCAATCAATCGTCGGATTCCCGCGACTCGCTGGGCCCAGTGAGCCTCGGATGGCGTACGATATGTGTAAGCGCGCTGCGACGAGATGACCCCAATGGCCTGTAGAACGGCCTTGCGCGAGTCTCGCCCAAACACGGCAGGATGATTGATCCACTCCATTGCCGACGTCAAGTCCGCATCCAACGCTGTGATGGTCTGTGCGTCGACTGCAGCAACAGGGGCAATAGTTGCAGTATCTGATGTAACAGACGACTGACCCTCGGTGAAGTTGGAGGATCTCGGCGAGGTCGATGTGGGAGTTTCGCCGCGACTTCCGGCATCGCTGAGACTGGCCGGCTTTACAGCACCTGGCGGTAGCGGTGGAAGGCTACCCTTACCGAGACCCTTAAGAATGCTTCGTGTTTCGGTCAAGAGATGCTGTGCGCGGTCATGTTGACCCCGAGTCACAAGTGTCAAGGCTCGGGTCAGCATGTCAGACGTGAGCAACTCCATGCGCCGCTGGACAATGGACGGGTGAGGAGGAATGGGTGGTGTCGAAGGTCTGCCATTCTTGGCTCTCGGATTGGATGGAAGCATGGGCACGGTAAGCAGTGACGGGCGAGGCGAGTGCGTCAGGTGACCATCACGGAGGAGATCACCATAGGTGAGATCCGCCTGGATCAAAGGAACCTCCTCGACGCTCAGCACGCGTTGCTCGTCTGCATCGGAGCCACCTCCGAGAGCTTCCAATCCGGACACCAGGCTTTCCCAAGGATCCTGCGGCATGCTTTCCTGCGTGGAGTTGTCTGGTTGGATGACCAACTGTACCAGCACATCACGCTTGTCGCCAAATCGGAGGTCTCCAAGGGCCGCCTCGGCATCTCTGCCTGTAGCGCGCTTGGTTGTATGGAGAGCCCCGCTAATCTTCACAAATTTGGCAGGCGAACCCTCAGGAAGACGGAGCTTCAGTTTGACGTTCTGATGCGAAGTGGTTTGCAGTGCGCCCAAGCAGCCGGCAACACATTCTCGAAGCATCATCCAATCTTTGACGTACAAGTACGAGCCTTTTGTCCGCGTGGACAACTCGATCATTGTGTCGGGCTTGTGAGTCAGTCCAAGGCCGAACGAGTGAATACTCACTCTGCAAATGGTCAGTCATCTATGCTCTTGATCTCTGGTGATGGAGGAACTCACTTGGCAGCTTCGGCCCTAGACACCACGAAATCGACACTTTCGGGGTCGGAAGTGGACGAGTCGCTGATCAGGAGGATTGTAGAAATGGGGTTGTTGGACTTGCGCTGCATCAGCAAGTCCATTGCAACATTGGCGCCTTCGACAACATCCGCACGAAGGCTCTTCTGTCCGACAGGTCGAATGGAGCTGAGGATTTTGTTCCATCCGCCCCACGACTTGGTGGTCATTCCAACAAGGGGCACGCCGCCACCGCTGGAACCGAAAGTTACCAAGCCCATACGATCTCGGGGTCCGAGATTTTGCACCAGGAACTTGAGTGCGTCTCGCAACAGGGTGATCTTCAGCCCCTGCATGGACGAAGAAACGGGAATAACAACCACAATATCGAGAGGTATGTGGGCACTCAACGTGGGCAGATTATCTGCACCGGTGGTATAATCCGTGATGGCTGTATTGTTAGACCGTCCGGCACCGTAGGATGAGTTAATTGACGCCTGTCGTTTGATCTGGCTGGCCCGGTAGTCCTCCTCCTCAGCTCCAGAATGATCCAGGTCATAGTCAGTGTGTCGGGACAATGCATCAGAGTTATGAAGATCGCGAAGAGCTCGACGCCAGATCTCTAATTCGTTTCGGCTCTGGAAGCGAAGGTAGAAGCAAGGAAGTTCGCTGACTGACAGATTAAGCGTGAGGACAGGTTCATCTATGGTGGTCAGCATCCGATACCCTTATCTCAAAGTCGATCGCAGCTTACCAGGCGACGCTTCAATAGACTTGAGATGCTTCTTGATAAGAATCGAGCCTTTCAGCGAGCTCCGAGTCTTGCGCTTGGACTGGTCATCATACTGATGAGCATTTGTCTTCTTTTCCTTAATACAAATAAGCATCTCTGCGAAAAGATAGCACTCCAGGTCCTGCCATGATTCGCGATCCTTGCCCACTCGCATGTGTCCATGCAAGCGGAGTTTTCCGAACCTGAAGACCAATCAGTATTCGCCAATCAAGAACCTCGTATGGGAGAAAACGTACCGCGAAAATTCAAGACCATGCCAGTTGTCGACCCGCGTTCGCAAGTCCTCAGCGATTTCGTCAAGGTTCTCCTGGGGCTCGTATTGGATGGATCGAGCATCCGCAGTCGGAAAGCGAACCACGCCGCCGTAAGGCTCATCCTGCGGCTGCGACGCACCCGACGAAGTTTGTCGCAAGTCCTCCGAATCCGGATGCCATACTCCCTCAGGAACTTCCACCGTGACCAAGCACGTCAAAGATTGTTGTTGTCTGGACCGGTTGAGTGTGGGGAATTCGCTGCGGATCGTCACCGTGGGGGCGGGGATGGGGTTCTTCATGGGAGCCGCGCGAGGGCTAAGATCGGATTCCATGGCTTGAACGTCATAATCATGTCGCCTGCCGTTGCTCTGCTGCTGAGCATCGTAGTCGCCCGACGATCCTGCAGCACTTCCATTTCTGGAATGCTGTTGCCGTGAGCCTGTGGTCATCCGCTCCACTCGCTCGCGCTCACGATGGCTGCCCGTATTGCCCGTATCGCGGCTATCCCTTCTCGCCCAGATGTCCCGACTGTCGCGATTGTTGTATGACCGGCTTCCCGTCTCGCTGGGTGCTCGCCCACGAGCTGACGGCTGATCCCACGGAGTTGGGGTGGTCAAACCACTGCGCTGCGTGGCTGCATCGCTAGTCACCGAACGTACAATGTTGCTCAATTTTTCTACAACGAGGATGGTCAGTACCCCAGCAGTTGCAATCACTATGCTGTCCGAAGTGCATCTTTTCGCTTACCGATGTCAAGTACATGACCCCCGCGGCTGGTGTCCAGCCCTAATGGGGCATCACAGGTCGGACAATATTGGCCCTCAAACTCCTTGATATACTCGTAGAAACAGGCTTCGTGCGCCACGTGTGTGCAGGAGAACTGGAGGACCCGCTCTCCGCGCAGGGTATGCTCTAGCGGCTCCTCGCATACGGCACATTCACTACCGACAAACGTTCGATCCCTCCGGGTACGGCTACGGTCAACGTCCATCAGCCCCGCCATTGGTCTACCTGATCTAGAGTTGAACGATGCTCGCGAAGAGTTTGTGCCGGCGGTCGACTGCCAGCCCAAGCCAGGATGGTCGGATTGAAGCGACGTGCTAACAGTGGAAGGAGCACGAGATCGAGAAGTGTGCGTTTGACCAGATGCACTGGTTCCCGGCCGATCTGCGTGAGAACGGGAGAATGAACGGAAGCTCCTTAGAGGTGAACGCGAGGGGGACTCTGGCCGGGAGGGGAAATCTGCAGGTCACGCAAAAGGTTGCAGATACTCGTCAGTAAGTGGTAGAAACGGTCCGCTGGCCCGACTTTCAGTAAGGAACCAAATGGCAATAACAACGACGACTGAGGGTCTGGTGATGCCACTATTTTTTGACGGCTTGATTTCTCCGTGTCGAATATAGTTGGGATTGACAACGCAGGAGACAAGAGGATGGAGGGAGGGAAGCAGACGAAGAAGGAAAAAGGGGATTAAAGTTCCGATGTAGTGGGAAATTATACTAGGAAGTCGTATAATTGAGCCAGAAAAAAAAAAAATTAACAATTCAAGGAAGAGTGTGAAGAGATCGAAAAAGAACTGCAAATACGAAGAGAGAGGAAAAAAGAAAACAGAGACAAAAACACCCAAGAGGCTTCTAAGTATTGTAGAAGATAGTAGGGTAGTACTCACGGAGCGGAGATTTCTTTTTGGAGCGACCAAAGAAGCCAAACTCAGACAGATTTAGATGGCCTGAATCGACGTTCCCAGACTTGGAATCCGATCTGGAAGATGGTCGATGATGTTTCCACATGGACCACGGAAAGGAGAGAGGCTATTCCTGGGGAAACAGGAGAATCATGAGCAACCGAGAATGTCAAGTTTCAAGTATCAATAGTTCCTGGTAGCGGTGATGACGGTGGTAGTGCGATTGAGGAGAAGGGGGCGTAGCCAGGTAGGAGAGATTTACTACTTAGGTGAATCAAGTGGGGAGAAGAACCAGAAGAAAGTTAGGAAGAGTGGGGAGAAGAGGAAAGAAAGTCCCGATGAACGGATGGAATCCTTGGAAGAAATTGACCAGGGGTCAGGGAAGACGACAGATAATTGCTTGTAATTGAAGCTTCAGGGATAGAATGATAGGGCTAAGGAGGCAGATGGCAGAGAATTGAGGACAGGGAAGAGATCAAGAGAGACATGTGAGAAAAGAGCGAGAGACTGAGATAGTGATACCATACCTAGCCTTAGAGGATAATAATGTATGATGGCGTAAAAGGGTTAGGACCAGGAAAAGCCTGAACCTGGAGATATCCTGGATGGTAAACGACCTTTTTTTGCGACGGTGTCCGGGCCGATGTTCAGGAGGCCGTTGATAGTTGATGGGGCTGAAGATGATGATTGGATCTGAGGGAATGGTCAGAGGGAATGGAAATTTAGTCCATATGGAGTACGTAGTATCAATAATCAGGAATGCGGTAATAAAAAAAAATATGATATGATGAATGGCTGATTACTCCGTAGACATAATCCGATGGGTAGACAGAGAGTCAGAGACAGGAAGAAAGAGGAGGGAAAATGGACTAACTCTGCAGAGGCAGTATGGACTAACGACGGAGGAAGTTCCCAGTTGATCCTTTCCACCATCATCAAAATTCCCAAAAGATTCTAGTTCCGAGCACCAGAGGAAAAGGTACAAAGGTTAAAATCCACCAAGCGAAGGGAACTCGCAATATTTGCCAGTAAAATTGCAGAGAAAGGACGCTGGTGGGGCAGGAAACTGCATGCGAAATTTTCTATGGAAACTCAAAGGAACAGGAAAGCCACGGAACCTGTGAGACTAGGTAGGGTAACAGTGGGTCAACTACTTAGGTACTGGAGAAGGTAGTACTTATCAGGTAAATAATAATACTAGGAGATCATGAGATGCTCATGCACCCCTGACTACAGAGTAGATAAATACTCAATAATGATAATGGTACCTTGGTTCTTCAACTTCTTTGTTGATTATTCTCAAAGAAGTCAGAACAAAGGAAAAAAGAAATTATCACATGTAACTCTTAGTATCATTATACTTTATTTCTATTAGAAAAAGAGCCTATGATGTAATGTCCATGCTGTCTTTTCTGCAGATTTTAATTAATACTTACTACAGTCTGTACAATGCAGGGACTCACATATGCTGCGCCTAGTCGGACCGCGTCACAACAGTCTATGTAACCATGTGAAGATCGTGCACTTCCTAAGCTTAAGGAGCATTGGTCGATGGGAAATTTCAGACAGTCCTCAAAAGCTATTTGTATTAGTCTTTGACTGCTCCGATGACTACGTACTGTGTAGATCAGTGAGGTCTCAACTACCCCTTAAAGTCTTTAGCTTTCTAGATGACCTGCAGGCACATACTCTAATAAACTTGTTAATCCCTAGATTCCCTTGCTTGTCGCATTACTGATTCCAGCGTTTCTGGGAAACTAACATATTTGACTTGTCAGATGTATCAATCAAATCGAAATCCAGTCAAGTCCCGATTCGGGTATTTTCCTAGATACTGCATGTCATTTGCTTCAATGGTCTGCTACGAGTCTACGACGCCCTAATTCGGAAAATAAGCACAGATCAGATTCGAGCGACAGCGATAGATAGAATCTAAGATCTGCACCTAGACTAATACTCTGGACTTCCCCCAAAGATGGAGACCATTGACGGGTCCTCATCAAAGTGACCCGCGAGCTTTTGCACAAAGGAGCAAAGATTGCCACTCGTCCGGGAGCCGACCGTCGATCCCGGAGCGTTTTCTGTCAAGCGCTTGTCATTTGCCTTGCATTCCTGGTTTGTCGACTCATCAATTGTGACTTTATCTAGAATCTCCATCACTTTCTTTTTGATACTACGACATGATGAATTGATGGTGAATGTTACTAGTGGTGCTTGTTTGTGGGGACACAGGGCTACTGGGTGGTCCTCGGGATTGTCTTGCCGCGTAGAAATTGAACACGAAGTGTTGAAGGTTGTTGTAATCTGAACACATATTAACACCTTCGCTACCCTTAAACTTCGGATGTCTTGAGAAGTAAACCCTTGGTCATGGCCTGCTTATCGTCCATTTACAAAATTAGAGCTCCGGCAATACACATCTATCAACATCCAATTGTTATCCATCAACTCAACCATCTGTACTGTACTTCGGAATGCCTGTCCATAATTTAAGGATTATCATAATAGCACCCTGATATCTACCAGGTAAAGGACAAGTAGCATCTTCTATCTACCCCATGCAGACTCTGGGTGCAGAAGGATGCAATTGTGGCTGTTCACTGTTGTTGGCCGGATCCTACCAGCCAAACTGACCACCTCTTCGTTAACCATAATAATCTATAATCTATTCCTCAAAGATCATTTGATTGGTTGAATTAATTAACATTTGGGCCTGATTTGTCGCCTGATGATTGTTTCTTTGACCCTTTGTACATTGGTTATACCGTCCCGAGGTTCGGCAGTTCAATATGGTTCATTGTGGTCGAGAGAATGTCCGAACTATGCAATACTAAGTATCCTATCAAGAGCACCAACTTTGTACGTAGTTACTGCTACTCTAGGTTCCCATTCCCACTTCATATTGTAAGTCAACAATATTGAATATCATTGTAGACAGATGACCGAAGAAAGTATCAAATGCCGACATGTTCGAAGGTTCAGCTTGAACAACGATTAGCTGTTTCATCCAGACACTAGGGAGTAGATCCCAGCTCTCCTCATCGATTAATTAGACAAGCTAACGCACGGTTGAAGTTTGGATGGTACAGTCGCCTTTCCACGTGAGAGGATCCAAAAATCATCCAGGACCCAATGTTCGAGTTCCATTCCATCTGTACTCAGGTGACGGGGTCCAACCAGTTGAAAATTGGGACCGCTCGGGTCGCATCCTACTGGACAAGGCAGAAAGAAGCTCTCCGCGACCGGGGAGCAGGATGATTCCGATCCGCTGTTTGAAGCCATCCAGAAGGAAAATCCACCACTCAGCTTGAGTCATTGGTTTTCATGGTGAGCACCGTCTCTGCTCAACCTTGGAACAGTGCCAGTGGCAACTGGCAACTTCTCCCCCATCTCAAAACTGAGCAATATTATGTATCGTGTCTCAATATTGGGCTGTTGTCGTCTGACTTTATTTGCGGGCAAGGATCATTTGAACCTAACATTGATGGGGACTGTGACGTCTGAGTTTATTCCTCCCTATCTACGGAGTACTCTGTGATTATTATATATCAACGAAGCATTGCCACTGTGTCAGGACGGAATTTCCGGGGAACTTGGCAGACACTGTTAACTGAGGCAACCCACACTGAACTCACACATGAAATCACTCCCTTTGGAGATTAGCACCGCAAAGAAAAATTTCCAGAAAGTACACAGTCTAGTTGGATCCAGAGTCCCAGATAGTAATCCATAGAGTGGTTAACTTGAGCAGTTCTGTGTGTCACAATATATACTAAGCATCATTCACGTTGTACCTATAAGGTAGGTTATAATCCTGTAAATGCATTTATCAGCCATGCCACAAATATCCAAAATCTCAACAGTACGCGGCATCGTACTTGCGTAGATTGTACTTCTTACTTTTTAGAACTGAATCAACTGACTCATGGGACGGTCTGCCTACATTTAGGAAATCTTAGAGCGGATAGTACAGGGTCTCAGTGGACTATTATGAAATCCGCTGCCCTATGGATCGATCCAAGTGTATGAAACGGTCCTGAAACATCCTGCTTTACGAAGAGTCCTTGCAGTCAGTGTACTAATTTCAAATAACTTGATTTGGATGTATCTGACTCTAGTTAATAGATTGACAAACTGCCGTGCTTGTTCCGGATGGTGTATGTTGTTATTCTTACCAATGAAATTAACACAGATTAAGATCTAGGTAAAATATATCTGGCCCAGGGAGTTCAATTCTTCAAGTCCGCTGTACACTCCTCGTCGCAAATCTGATGATACATCCATTTGATCTGTATCACAATAACAGATCAATTGCCGTTGTCTCTTGTTGATGTGACATATCCAACGTGCTTTTGCCATTGTTACAACTCCTAGCAGATCGGTCTCAAATATGAAATACTTAATTCAAAATGCATCCGCCAATTAGCTAGCCATGCTGTGATGCAGGCAGACTCACATATGCACCCTACTCGAAGCCTTGACCATTAGATCAGGACAACGGGTGCAGGTCTGTGGACCGGACTGGATGGCGGTGCAGTATGCATGGTCAAACCCATTCATATTCGTCAGTGCGTGGTCAAGAAGTACAATTGACGATAAAGGGGTAGTCGTCTCTATTCTTCATATTGTAGTTCGACAGATCTTGAGTAATGTGAGTCACATTTCCCAGGGTTGACAGAGTTCTGTTGGCCTGACTGATTTTGGAGCCTCCTACTTATCTCCTGAATCGAGCCTGTTCTGCTCAGTATTCGATCGAGCACCACTTCCGTGGCTCCTCATACAGACCGGACCAGATGGTGCTGACGATAAGCGGCAAGCCGTTCGTACGTCAAGACTTCCTAAAAGTCCATCGCGAGCATATATCTCCTGGTCTGTGTCAATGTTGTTTTCATAAGCCATAGTTCGTCGCATCTTGCGCTCGAGATCTGGTCGGTCTTATTCTGTCAGACCCCTTCAATAAGAGTCAGAAGACTCGATTGCGTATACCCTGCCCAGAGATCAACGTCTCGGACGTTTTGCTTGCTCCTCACTGTTCAAGCAAAGAAGCTGGAGCACAGGTCTCGGCAATCAGATAAACTTCTCCAATTCAGCAGCACGCAAGTGAACATCATACCTATCGTCCGATGCCCTGGTGCTGTACTTGGGGGCACTGCAATGCTTATCTTACCCTTGAACTAGTCCATGGCTAAAGCCTACGGAAGAGTTGTCCGTGAGGATATTAGAATAACTCAAGATCTTTGTTTGTTTCCAAACAGGATGATGCGGACCTCAAGGTAGCCAGACTGATGTCCGTATCCACTTCCACTTCGGCTAAATTGGGCCCCGACTCTACCTTGAGGATCTCTGCACCTCCCATTTAACCATCCAATAACAACCTGCAAAGTGCGAGACACTGTCCTATCCATGGAAGAAGCTTAATCTGCATCAGCGATTTATCCATCACTAAGAGCAGTCAGGCCATTTACCCCTCGAGGTTATCATATCGGACTTCCTTCCGAACCCCGATCGCCATGCCCACAGCCCACCTGCCCCTCCTCAAGGTCATTAGGAAAACAGCCCCATGCAGATGACATATAACCAGGAACTGGCACCCTCAGGTACTGAGACAACGATGCATGCGGTAGTGACGAGACTTTTCTCGAATTATCTTGATCATAAACACCCAAACAGGTCAATCGATCACAATGTCCGTCCACGCCAATGGAAGGACGCCTACCCATGCCTTTAGTCGGTCTCCCTTTCGCACACGCAGCGACTTTCAAGATGCTTGTCGAGCGCTGCTCGATGCGCTCGTCCCGCGCTTCACACCCGGCTGCAGTCGTGTGAAGATCGGCTCGTCAGCGACCCGGTTCGATGAAGGTGGCGCCCAGATCGAGGGTTTTGCACGTCCCCTCTGGGCCCTGGGTTCCTTGCTGGGTGGAGGCTATGACTATGCAGAGGCAGCTCGTTGGCGCGAGGGCTTTATCAGCGGGACTGATCCCGACCATCCGGAGTACTGGGGCGACATTGAGGATATGGATCAGCGCATGGTGGAGATGTGTCCTATCGGGTTTACGTTGGCGGTTGCTCCTCACGTCTTCTGGGATCCGTTGACGGACAAGCAGAAGGAGAATATTGCAAATTGGCTGGCGCAGATAAATGCGCGCGAGATGCCAAATACCAATTGGTAGGTCTTGAATTACAGAACTGTTTGGGGGCTTGTTCTCACCTTATCGTACAGGCTGTGGTTCCGGGTTTTTGCCAACCTTGGTCTGCGGAGGAATAATGCTCCTTACTCGCTTGCTCGTATTGAGGCAGACATGGATCATCTGGATACGTTTCACGTCGACGCAGGCTGGAGTAATGATGGCCCCAAGAGCCATCACCAGATGGATTACTACTCGGGCTCCTTTGCCATTCAATTTCTACAGCTGCTATATGCCAAGTTGGCGGGTGATTTTGACCAACCTCGCGCTGAGAGATACCGTGAGCGTGCGAGGCAATATGCTCAAAACTTTGTCCATTATTTCAGTCCAAATGGTTGGTCTTCCACTTGTTTTTCTGGGAATCTGTTCAGTCATGCTAACTAGGATCAGGCAGTGCTATTCCATTTGGACGATCGATGACGTATCGGTTTGCCATGGTCGGATTCTGGGGTGCACTGGCGTTTGCGGACGTTGAGCTACCTGCTCCGTTGACCTGGGGAGTGGTCAAAGGTATCTTGCTGCGCCATTTCCGTTGGTGGGCTACCCAGGAAGACATCTTCAACAGTGACGGCACGTTGAACCTGGGATACTCCTACGCAAACATGTACTTGACGGAAAACTACAACTCTCCTGGATCTCCTTATTGGTGCTGTCTGTCATTTGTTCCCCTGGTCTTGCCGGAATCGCATCCCTTCTGGGCAGCGCAGGAGGAGCCCTACCCAACTGCCTCCCTTCCGGCCGTCGCAGCCCTTGAACACCCCAAGCACATTATGGTTCATCGTGGTGGACACTGGTTTCTGCTGTCGTCCGGTCAGGCCTGCCATTACCCCCTGAAAGCTACCCAGGCCAAATATGGCAAGTTTGCCTACAGCGCCTCGTTTGGATATTCCGTTCCCACTGGCTCCTATCAGTTAGAACAGCACGCACCAGATAGTATGCTTGCTCTCTCTGACGATGGGGGCGATATCTGGCAGACACGAAGATTGGCACTAGATGCCCGGTTTGAATGGCTTGATGATGTTCCCATGCTCGTGTCCGGCTGGAAGCCGTGGAAGGACGTTGCTGTCGATACGTGGCTCATACCTCCAACCGAGGAGACCGAAAACTGGCACCTTCGTATTCACCGCGTAAGAACAGAGCGCGAACTCTTGGTTAATGAAGGGGCATTTGCAATCTACGGCTGTCGCAGCGACAACGGCCGCATTCTCGGCCCATTCACTCCAGGTTCAACCGAAGGTACCTTGACGGAATCGCGACGGGCGCTCACGGTCTCGTCCGTCGGTGCCGTCGGCATTGTGGAGCTCCAGCCGAATGTGGATCGAGAAGGCAGGATAGTGCTGGCAGATGCCAACTCGAATCTGCTCTACGGTCGTACTCTGCTCCCTTCGCTAGGATCGAAGCTCAGCCCCGGGAGCGACACTTGGTTGGCAACGGCGGTATTCGCCCTGCCAGCTGAAGGCAACGGCGACGACTGGCAGGAGAAATGGCGCGCGAGATGGGAACGGGTTCCAGACATTCCGAGCAAGCTGAAGCAGATCATGGGGCAGCAGGATTGAAAGGGCAAGCGAAGGATCGCGATGGATTACTCCCACCTTCCATAAACTGTCTATCTGCATCACCACAATATCTATCCTTGGGGTAGAATGCGCAAATGAAATTGATTAACAGCAATCGACTGATAAGACAGGCAACTACCAAGACGTGTAGATTACTTTGTTATTCGTATCAACGATGTCCATTTGCCAGGACCGGATGAATGAACGTTTCTGGCTAAATCACCCACTCACTAGCTTCAGCCAAGTGAGCCGACCTGCCGCACTAAAGCAGCTTAGATGCAACCTTTCGCCCCCGAACAAGTCGAATTGATGCTGATCGGCCCCTACTTTCCCGCAAACTTGCTTTCTGCTTTTGTCCTTCCCCTCCGCATTTTTGCTTGGCACATCCTCGCCGTTCCACCATTCGTACCGACCCTTGGCCATCCTTGGTGCTTTCAAATCAGGTGCCATGCGTGACTCGGGGCATCAACCAGCCATCCCCAAGCTGGGATCAAGCTCTAAACGGCTTGGTGAGTCTCAGTCATCTCAGTCATCCCATCTAATTCGTTGTCGGCCCCCACACTACCCCGTCCTCGCAGAGCAAACCACCTTCCCCCGGTTATTTTCCCCCATGCTGACCATCAGCCACCACAGAAAGGACAGGGTCAAAGATCCTGTCTACCGGCTGGTCTGGCTAAGTGAGCAATAGCATGGCGCTATCATCCTACCGAAACCGATAGGTTCTCTTTGCCCAGACGGACATACACCCTTGTCCTCTGACCTTCGTTTTTTCCCCGTCCAACCCGCCCTAACAACGAGCTCCAAGCGTTCTCGGCGTCTGAAGTATCTTCGCCTGAACTGCTCATCATCTGCTGTAATTCGTGGAAAGTTTCCGGCGCGCTCGTCGTCTTTTTTTCCGTGGCTGCCAGTCATATTACCCACACATTTGCAGGGTGACGGTTAGTGATATCAGACACCGTCGGTTATATATACATTACCGGGTCAGTTGGTCGATCTGCTGGTCTGTTGGGGTGAAAGAGACATAATCATTGTCATCCCTGGGATCTAGAATTGCCTTCGGTTTTCGCTTCAGGGGTCTTCTTCAATAATCTTGTCAGGGATGAGCGTGGGATTTTAATCGCGTTCCAGGTGTCTTAAATAATATCGACTTTTCACTTGTTAATTCTTTAACCCTGCTGAGGAGCCTACTGTCGTCGTCAACATGTCTGCCCTCCTCAGAAAGCTCGTCCACAATGAGGCGATACGAGAGGATCCCAAGGAAATCTATGGGTGGAGAGTGTATATGCTTGCCTGCTCGGTCCGTTGTCCTACAATATCCCCCGTATTCAGAGACTGACGAGTCTGTAGGCATGCTTTGGTGGTATGCTTTTTGGGATGGAAACAGGTATCATTGGGGGTGTTCTCACAATGAAACCTTTCATGGCGTGCGTCTCCTTACCGAGAATATAACCATGGCGAGTTTGTTCTAACCGTCACCAGGAAATATGGCCTGAACAATCTGAGTTCAGTCGCCCAGGCAAATCTGTCTGCCAACATTGTGTCCACGCTGCAAGCGGGCTGTTTCTTTGGAGCCCTCATCGCTTCGCAAGTGGCTGATCGCTGGGGAAGAAAGCCCGGTCTGATATCGGCATCGATTATGGCGATCCTTGGTGTGATCATGCAGGTTGCCGCCAGTGGCCACCTGGAGGCCCTGTATATTGGACGGTGAGTGACCCCGAGCCCGTGCGTTACACTCGTGTGGAGCATGCGCTGAACGATCCGTCTTTGCAGACTAGTTACCGGCTTCGGTGTCGGTTTCGCCTCGATGATCAACCCCCTCTACGTGTCGGAGAACGCTCCTCGTGCCATCCGTGGCATGCTGACCGGGCTGTACCAGCTCTTCATTACCATGGGCATCATGCTGGCGTTCTGGATCAACTATGGCTCCTTGCTGCACATCAGCGGCCCGGCCATGTACCTCGTGCCGCTGGCCATGCAGGCCCTCCCCGCCATCCTCCTCCTGGTCGGTATGCTCCTGTGCAACGAGTCTCCCCGCTGGCTCGCCCGCCAGGACCGCTGGGAAGCCGCGCGCGCCACACTCGCCCAAGTGCGCCACCTGCCCCCACCCACCCCTACATCGAGCGCGAATTCCAGGACATCGTCGCGCAGCTCGAGCACGAGCGCCAGCTCATCGGCGGCTCCGGCCCCTGGGACCTCATGCGGGAAATGTGGACGATCCCGGGCAACCGCAAGCGCGCCCTCATCAGCATCTTCCTCATGATCTGCCAGCAGATGACCGGCACCAACGCAATCAACTACTACGCACCGCAGATCTTCAAGAACCTCGGCGTCACCGGCAACGCCACCGGCCTCTTCGCCACAGGCGTCTACGGCATCGTCAAGGTCGTCGGCTGCGCTGTCTTCCTCGTCTTCGTCGCCGACTCCCTCGGCCGCCGCCGCTCCCTCCTCTGGACCTCCATCGCACAGGGCCTCACCATGCTCTACATCGGCCTGTACGTCCGCATCTCGCCCCCCAAGACCGGCGAGCCCGTCATCCCCGCCGGCTACGTCGCCCTCGTCTGCATCTTCCTCTTCGCCGCCTGCTTCCAGTTCGGCTGGGGCCCGTCTGCTGGATCTACGTCTCCGAGATCCCCACCGCCCGCCTGCGTGGCCTGAACGTCTCCTTCGCTGCCGCGACCCAGTGGCTCTTCAACTTTGTTGTCGCCCGCGCCGTCCCCAATATGCTTGCTACCGTCGGTGCGAATGGTTACGGGTAAGTCTCCCCCAAAGTCCTCTCATACAAGGTGAAGTATGCTAACGGTTCAAAGAACGTACATCATCTTCTCCTGCTTCTGTCTCTCCATGTTTGTGTTCGTATGGTTCTTCATCCCTGAGACCAAGGGTAACTTTTCCCCCCGTTTCAAAATCTTGTATCGACAGTTCATGCTGACGAGGATAGGTCTCTCACTCGAGAAAATGGATGAGTTGTTCGGCGTCACCACTTCCGAGAATAGCAAGGTGGCCGATGCCGAGCGGGCCATGAGTTCGACGACCGACAAGGAGGCTGAGACCATCGTTGAGACAAGGGTCGAAAGGCAATAGATAGCTATGCGTGTAATGTCCTGGTGAGAGAGTTCTGGTAACTTGCTATGAATCAGATTATCCTGTTTGATAGATGTTTTGGTTAAAGTAGTGGTGGCATCGGAACTTGTAGGGTAACTATCTGTTCATCATTGGTCGTAAGTCGTATATTCCTGTCGTTATGTACAAACCCACGGTAAATTCCCACATAGCAGAGCGATGAAACAAGAAGACAGACTGGGGTAAAGTGGATGCAGAATAATATCAATCAATCAACAGGAACGCTTCCGACAATTCGAGATGTGACAAATCCAATATCTTAATGAATGCAAATATCCGGATCTCAAAAGAACGCAAACCCAACTCCACTAATGCGCGTCATAGCATAAAGAGAAGAAATTGGTTGAAGCTGGCCAAGCGGTTACTTCAAGCCACGCATCGAGTATTTACTAATTCCCTCATTTCCGGCGAGTCTCTGCGACTGACTGCGTGTCACTCGCCGGGTGGGCTTGTCATCAAGACTCAACCCCCCGATTCCAGGACCAAGCTCTGAGCGTCTTGGTGAGAAGAATGTATCAGTCGGGTTCCGTCCGTAGCGGATATTCCTGACCGTGTTGCTTGTGGCTGTCGTCGCTGTCGTCACGGTCGTCTCGGTGTCTGAATCGCGATCGTAGGCATCAGAGAAGTCGGATTCATTGTCCTTGAGACTATTCAATGTGAAACTGTGATCACGTTTGAGACCTTGATTCTGGTTCGGAAATGCTAGTTGGTACTGTGCCTCTGGTGACCGCGTCATGAAGCTGGAACCGGCAGCAGTCGAAGAAAACGAAAGAGGGGGAACAGGGGGCTCAGCAGAACTGAATGATGAAGATGGTTGCTCGGGCCGAACATGGCTCCCGAGTGATGGACTGCCCGGGGAGCTTGCGTCCGGAGACTGGCTGGGCTGCTGCACTTGAGAGCCGGTATCGCCAGTTGTCGCAATACGGTAGAGAGATAACAGCCCCAATGCTTCCTGAACGGTCATGAAGACCAACAGAAGTTTCCCATATCTGTCAAAATAATGTCTCTCGAACGACACATGTGGAAGGTGCCCCCCAAGGTGGACGGCCGCCACTAGCTCGGCGAAATAAACAAGGATCTCCATGCCGTTCCATTGCGCGATGGGCTGCTTGAGGACATCCAACAATGCAAATCCCGCAATCAGACTTGCACTCCCAAGAGAAGCCACCTCGACGTAATTGCCAGGAATTGAGAGATGGTTATACTGTGACAGAAGCCAGGCAGCAATAGATGCTAGCAGTAGGCCCACCCGAAAGTACAGGAACATAAAGAGTGTCTGCATATCCGCAGACTGGCGAGCATGCGCACTCGATGCTCGCTGGTGCTGCTGCCAGTTCTCATTTCCCTCATCCTCAGGAGATTTGATCGTAAAAGCTCGGTCGAACAAACTCTCCAGCCCAGTTGAAGCAAGATGGTCGCTGGTAGGAAAGAACTTTGGAGGTGCAAAGACCGAATCTGCCTGAGCGGCGGGTTTACGTTGCCAGGAACTTGGCGACTGAGTGGGTGTACGGTGAAATGGGTTGCGTTCAACAACCTGCTGTATAGGCTTCGGCCGCGAAGATTGGGTCCGAAGGGCCCATGATGGAGGTTTAGGGGCCGCAGGTAGTGATCCATAGAACGGTAAAGGTCCGTTGAGGACAGACGGTGTGTCTCTCTGACGGACACTAACCGTCGGCGTGATTTCGTGCTGTACAGAAGGGGTCCAATCCATATCGTCCACCTCTGGAGGAGGCGTGGGAGAAATAACGGGCTCCGTTTCCGGTACTGGTCGGGGAGTTGCCAGCTTCTCAAGCGGGAAGCGTGGAGTACCTTGCTGGTCGGTTCCGCGAAGGCTGGTGAAACGCTGAGTAGTCGCGCTCGATTGCGCGACGGGTGACGCAACTGCTTTCTCACTAGCAGTCGCGGTTGGCGTGCTATCCGACCATGCGACCAGTGGGCGAGTGTCATACTTGACAACGCGCCGAGAGATAACGACGGACTTGGGATTCTGTCAGCGTGCGATTCATTCGTTCCTCAAAAAGGACGAGACTTACCAGGATCGTGAGGAGTATCATAAATAGATGCAGAGCCGGCGGCAATGTCGGTTGTAGTCCACTGGAAGAAGGGTCTTTAAGTACAGCCCAGAAGACGCATCGCGCCACCATGACGATGAGCTGCACCTGATAGTATTCGCCCAGCCCGACGAAGCGTCCTCCTCTGCCTTCGACCTTGAGTCGCAGTTTCGGGTTCCACCACAAGGACAGGATTCCCGCAATCAGAGCTAGACCAGCGTAGGGAGACAAATCAATCCAGCATGAACTCGGTAGTTGACGTGTCTGTAATGTCGCACGAGCGCACGACGCAATGGACGGCGGCGATAAGTCATCGTACATATCGCGGAGATGATGATCGGCACTCAGAGCTCCCAGAGTATCCCAGGACAGTTGACCAGCAACGCTGCCCCAGTAACCCATGGCACCCGCTGACACCAGTAGATTTCTCCAATTCCACCGCCGCGCGTGTCTCGCTGCCCTTCCCGCTTTGCTCCTGTCCATCATCCGTCGAAGGTGGTCCGATTTCGCCTCATATCCAGCTTGACGTATCCGTTCCTTCACCCGAGGTTCGCAGTTTGCGCATACTTGCGGGTATCGTTCCTCCAGGTTCCTGCGAAAACTGGGATATTCCCGCTCGTAGGCGCTATAATTTGGATCCTCCGGCGACGGAAAATAAGAGGCAAGTGCACTTGTGAAGAGATGCTGGTTGCGAACACACTGAGCACAGAAGAGGCCGGATCCTGTAAGATCAACCGACTCAAAGGGAACGTCTGTGGCTCCAGGACCGTAAACAGTAGGATTCGTTTCAGCGGCGGGAGGGTCGGTAATCTCTCCTTTCTGGTGCCGGCATCTGCGTTAACCCGGAATATACTAAGAACGAAGGCGCACAAAAGCAAGCACATACCTCATCCAGGTAGTTGACCGCTTCGCAGTGTTTGCAGCGCCATTTGCGAACGTTTCTGTCAGCCTGCGCAGAGCGATGTCCACAATAGAAGCAGCTTAGTCGCTTGGAGAACATGGTTTAGTATTTCATGTCAGATCCGATGACATTGATGATGATTGTTCCAAGAGAGAATCTAGTTCGCTTGAAAAACAATTTACTTATGGGATGATGATAAACGGTATCTTTGGTGTTTTTGTCTATCGCAGGAGTTAAGACAACAACAGGAAAATAATCACCGAGATCCGCACGGACCACGTGCCGTCTGCAATTAATCCAATGATATAACACCATGGGAATGTTGACAACTCCAGCCATCCCAAGACACAATGGCTCATTGACTCTAGGGTAGCTGCAACTGAATGATAACCTTAGGTGTATTTCCAGCTTTGAAAGGTTGTCCGAGCTAGGATGCCAACAAAAACAAGCGAAACGGGTGTCGTTTGCTGATACCGTGTCTTCAAGTGCCCTACGTTGAGGACGAGATCTAGCTACAACAGTGGCTAATTTTACTTCAACTGGCAATCTTTGTCTGAAATCGCGAAAATAAGCTCCCCATGGCTCCGCCGTGGGTCAAGTTAATCCTCTATGGCCTCTTGTTTGTGGCCATATGCGGCACTATAGCATTAATTGTGAGGACACTGCTCAATCCCTCCTTCTTTGCTGCATGCTCATGACTCTATTTTCAGCTCTGCATTCGCGCTCTATCAATATCGCAAAATTCCATAGTTCCGAAGTGGCGACGAAAGAATAGTCCAACTCATCTTCTCGTCGTCCTAGGCAGCGGCGGACATACTGCGGAGATGTTCTCTATGTTGCGGCGTATGAAACTCGACCCCTCGACATATACTTACCGCACCTACGTCGTCAGCTCGGGCGACAATTTTAGCGCTGCGAGGGCTGTGGAGTTTGAGACAGAATGGCTGAAGCAAAGTTCAAAGCTATCATTTCCTGCCAATTGCAGCAACACCGCAGAGTCCTACGCAATCGTCACGGTTCCTCGCGCTCGCCGTGTGCACCAGTCTTACCTGACTGCTCCTCTTTCAACCCTTCAATGTTTTAATGCTTGCCTTCTTGTACTCCGCGGCCGTCATCCCGAGCAAAAGTCGCCGCTTCCGAGAACAAACTCGCCATACCCGGACGTTATCCTAACCAACGGTCCGGCTACTGCAGTCTGTATGGTTTTGGCCGCCAAACTTTTGCGACTGTCTCACTATCTGGAGTCTCTTTTCAATATCAAGAACCGCCAAGACAGGGATAGCTCGAGATCATCCCACGCGAAGAGATCAGAGGATGCGTCAGCGCCAGTTTACTTCCAGCTGCGTACCATTTACGTAGAGTCATGGGCACGGGTCACAACATTTAGTCTAAGCGGAAAGCTATTGTTACCTTTTGCTGATCGATTTCTTGTGCAATGGCCTGATCTGGCAGGAAAACGGGCCTGGAGGGGCATGAGGAAAACCGAATATGCCGGTACGCTGGTAGACTAGTTGCATTCTGATGGCGTTGAGATTCAATCTACCATATTTCTTAGAATATGTATACTATTACAGATACTGTGAGATAATGATAAACGATATAGCTGTGTCTATCAGCCACAACACTAACAGCAAAGCCGAGGCCAGGTATGCGCGCCCAGTGCACCTCCTCGATTCAGTATGTCCTTCCCCCCGTACTTGAGATTGAGATGGTCAATTGAGCCTTGTGCCTGCCTATTGCTTTTCTTGAAGAGGACGCTGGTGTATATGTAGGAATTGGGAGCATCAAGCGCCACCTGTCAAGCCAGAGAGCAACTCATAATTCCGCTCCCATCCAGATATCGGAATTATACCGATATCTTCCCCATAGCTGAATGCTTTACCCCGCGTCAGTCGACCAATATACTATTTATGTCTCGGTAATTATCCTTCCCTATCACTTAGATACTGGCTGTCTAAATTCTCCATAAATATACCTCTAGAAAGGTATTTCGGGAAATCATGTCCTACTCCTTAAAAGGCCGCAATGCCCTGGTTACTGGTGGCTCTCGGTACATCTGCTAATCCGGCTTCTTATTGTTGACTGACGCTGACAGGTATTCAGAGGATTGGGAGCTCTAGTGGCTCAAAAGTACGCTGCCGAAGGGTGTAACGTTGCGATCAACTACCTTTCGAGCAAAGACGTTGCGGAGGAGCTCGCGTCCAGCCTACAGACTCAGTACGGCGTCAAGGCAATCACTATTCAAGGTGTAAGTCTTGCTTGCCTGCTGTGGCAATCCACAAATGCGAGCTAGACAGATTCAACGAGCTGGACAATTGACTGAGGCCTGCAAATCTAGGACGCAAGTCGCCGTCAAGACTGCAGCAATGCGATCAAGACCACGATTGAACAGCTTGGAGGTCTGGATATTGTGATCTCAAATGCAGTGAGTTCTATCAGTGGATGCTTCTCACTATATTGCCTCGGACTAATTGTCGTCAAGGGTTGGACCAAAATGACTACATTCAGCGATTTAGACGCCATGAATGATGACGACTGGGACAGGGTAAGAAGTCCACTTTTATGGACAACAACAGCTGACAGTTTCACCCAGTGCTGGACAACGAATGTCAAGAGTAGTTGGTACCTCTTCAAGGAAGCACTTCCTACATTCAACGCAAACCCCGACGGCGGTGTCTTCATTATCACTTCGTCCACTGCGGTAGGTAGCCACCAATCCCATATTTGGGTCATTATATATTGTGAAGGTTGGCGCTTATAAGAACCATTTAGGCTGTCACACCAAGCGGAAGCAGCATACCATACGCTGTGACAAAGGCAGCAGGTAGGATCCATAGTCAAAGCCATGAGTAAACCATGACTCACAATTTCAACATAGGCTTGCACCTTATGAAGTGTCTCGCACAGAGTCAAGGTTCAAAAGTCCGTGTCAACGCTGTAGTTCCTGCTCTCTTGCTCACTGAATGGGTATGTCAGACCGTAACAGAGTGAGCAGCGCAGAACTCAGGCTAATCAAATTACAGGGGCAACGGTTCCCTCCTGAAAAGATCGCAGCCTTCAAGAACAAAGCGGTACTTGGGAAATTGGTAAGATAGGTCGAATTTTTATACTCTCCCCTCGTTAGCTAATCGAGTGGCCATTAGCCTGAGCTGGAGGACGCTGCCAATGCATATGTTATGCTGGCTCAGAACTCGTCCATGACTGGACAGTCCATCCAAGTTGGTAGGTGGTCCAATTTATGTCATTTATCGCAGCGCTGACAACATAGATGCCGGTTTTGCGATCAAATAAGCGTTGTGGCCCAGAAGACCAGCTGGAGCATGAGTGATAGCTGCCAAGTAAATAGATTTTGAGACTCGAGCAACGTTGTAAGCGGTATCATATTGTTAGAATAATGAAAATGAAATGACGATGCTCGCTCTTCTTTGGTTTATTGCAAAGGGTTATGGAACGGAGTGAAGTCGGCAGCGCCAGAGTGAAAGGTCCGATCGCTAAGCATCCGAGCTTTGAGCGCAGCGCGAACACCATCTGCATTCTGTTCTCCTTCGACCTTCATTTGATGGATCCGAATCAGTTTGCCATCTCTTGTGAACACGTACAGCCCCTTTCCTTGTTGGCGATCAATCGGATGTGCACTGTCCACGAAAGGCAAGCCGGGAACAAGAGAGAAAGCCTCGCAGCCCTTTAGCGTATCTACTTCCTCCATCTCGCTCAGGATTACCCTGCGCTGTTGGAACAAGGGATTTCCTGGAGTAGGATCGCTAACCGCGAGGGTTTTGCTCCAGAGCGGACCGAGCACGCGATTCCGCCTGTTGATGTCCTTCCACGTCCAATTGACCCAGTCTATGTGTCTATCCTCTGGCTTGATCTTCGCCGCATGAATTAATGGCTCATCGCTCTGTGATGCCCGCCAGCCTGCGTCTTCTATGGGAGGGACGAACAATCCTTTGCGAATACCATCCAAGAGGATCTCCGCTCCCTTAGGGGCAACGATGTTTAGGAGCTCCGGAACGGTGCATGTGTCAGGATTCGGTATCTCAAAACCGGGGGCTGGAGTCTGCTGGAGGATGACGCCGTGATCGAAATGCTTGACATGTAGGGTTTGAAGCGTAACGCCGGTTTTCGTTCTCCCTGCTAGAAGAGTATGGTGTAGCGGGGCGGGACCACGGAAACTAGACATTCATCCATTAGACGAACCCCCTTGAGGAACTGCTTAGGATTTTGAGGAGCGTACTCCGGAAGCAGAGATGGATGAACATTCAATCCACCGTACTTGGCGGCGTTGAGGATTCGGGGAGGTACGAATAAGCCAAAGGACACAGCCACTATCAGATTGATGGGACCTGCGGGCAGTATTGGGGGCTAACAGCATCAGTACAGCAAGTCTACCAAGGCGGCGAGGACTATAATCTACCGCCCAGTCTTTGAATGTGTCTATCTCGTGAATTGGAAGTGAAAGTTCTGTTGCGACCGCCTTGATAGGGACTATTGACCAGATAAAATGAGTGAGCATAGTTCCAAGCATATTGATCCTTGAAAGTGGACAGAGTACCCTCCCGTATTTTCTTCAAACCCCTCCCTACTCTTTTTCCAGGTCTGCAAACAACGTCAATTGACGATATTCGATCTGGTCGTTTGACATGTTCTGCGTGTAGAGCTTTCAAGGAAGCTATGCTGAACTCGTCAGCTCCGCAAAAGAGAATACGGAGAGGGTCGTATGTTTTCGTCGCAAGGAATCGATATCCAAAGCTGCGCTTTGAAAGAGCGCTTCTATGGTGGCAGAGAGCTCCAGCTCTCATGAGATAAGCCATGGTCTGAACCTGCCCATGTGCTCGTGAGACGGGTTCTGTATTTGCTATTTGGCTATCGCGGTCGTGAAGTGAAGCTCCGCGGAAGCTTTCCCGATGCTCAGCCACGTGATGTCACCATGTCAACATGGCCATCTGATCAGCGCAGCTCGTCTTCCAACGACATAGTCGTGCTCAAGTGTGCCACATCTCAGTGATGAGCAGTGGCATGATCTGAACATGCGATGCCAGATAGCGACTTGACTTCAGTGGTTCCCGCGCAGCTCTCATTCCTTGCGATATACAGCCCCCTCCTCGGACCGACAGACGAAAGTATCGGCGACCAGGTTGTTTTTTACACCTCCAGAACAGAGCGATCACGACGAAATGAACGATCGGCTGTCGGTAACGATGATGCAAAGCTTACTGAGGGACAAAATGAGAGGCTGCGCCAGATAGGACTGGCGCAGGGAATGGTCAGCTTCGCCAGGTTCGAATCACAACGTTTGCAGAGGCTGAATAAAGCTGAGATGGTACTCCAGGAATTTTTCCCAGGGTAAATCGGTCGATTATGTGGAGACAGAAAAATCGACCGTCATACTACATGAGTTGGAGGAAAATTGGTGGATACTAGCAGTAAGTAAGGCGTCGCGGGGCATTTCTGAGTTGATCGCTGACGATGTGATCACAGTCGATAGATCTCACTAGGCTTCCCAATGATTCAGCAAGTGGCGCTGCCTCCCAGCAAGATACATCCGGTGCTTCTCCTTTCTATTACTCCTCCAGAGAGATTTGTCCGCCGCAACTCTTGAAACAACAGCTACGCCGGGCGCATTCCATATTCCTCCTTCATCATGAGCTTACGCTTCAGCGTCTGTACGACCGCGTTGGAAGGTCCTCGTTTTGCAGTTTTCTTGAGCGCTTTTGGAGCAAATTTGCATGGAGCTGGGACATTCTCCTGACCGGGAACCCCACCGTTGAATTATATAATGGCATAAAGCTCTCTGCTGGCGGCGAGCTTGGCATCGGAGTGGGCGAGGAAGAATGGGGAAGCGGGGAGAGAGAGGTTCTTGAGGACTATGTGCTCAGAACAGACGGCCTAGTGGATCTAGTCGTCTCCCGGTTCGGCGATCCTCCTTCCGCGGCGGAGGATTTAGCAAAGACAAAGAGATCTGAAGATCCTGCTGACGCAAGCGAAAATCAGGGAAGTTGGCTTGGTTCGGACATCTACCCTCGTCCCTCAGATGGTGTCATATTCTCCGGAGCCGGCAACATCTCGAGGTCTTCTCTGGTACAGGTCTCTCAGTGGATGGAATGGATCTTCAGATATGGCTATGATGCGTATGGGGTGGGTGAAGATCCGACGTCACCGCGACGGCGAAAACGCCGAAGGGGACACCGTGGTCGATCAGCTGCGAAATCTCTCTCAGCTAGCCGTACCGACAAATCCCAATTCACGAAAACAAAACGCAGCTTTGCCCCAGGGATACCCCCTCCTCTCGTAGTAGGAACATCGAAAGCTGCGCAGGAGGCCGGACCAGGGACACGCCAAAGTAGCACTGACAACTCCCCATCCAGGGGCGACAAGGGCAGCGATTGGATGGGTCTTGGATCAGATACTCTGGTCAAGTATCTAACATTCGGGTACGGCTCGTCTTGGAGATTTCCGTCCGGCACAACCAGCACACACCCCCGCATTGAGGCACTGAAGCGGGAAGAGACTGAGTCGGACGCAAGGAAAGAGCACCAGTCTTCTGACTGTTCCCAGGAAGCATCTGAAGAAAGCGCACCGAGCGTTAGCAACGACACCAAACCCAAGGACCAGGCCAATGGAAAATTCATTATTGGTCTATGTGATGACTCTGACCTTGTGGACTACCAATCTCCTGAAGATAACGCCAGGGATGACTCAACAGCAAACTTAACACAGAAGATAGTCCAACGGACTCTGTATGTCCAACGACCTGGTCATTCAGGACAAAGCGCAGCAGGTGATACGGAACCCGTTGAGCTGCGGGTAGTGGTTTATGTCGTACGTTCAGTCCCGTTACCAGGCCTGTTCATTAAGATGTCAGCTAATGTAACAAACAGAATCAACCTTTTATATACACCTTCCTTTTCGACCCTCAAGCGCCGTCCTTGAACGATGTCTCTCTCTACCAAAGCATTCATCACCAACTCGCTCCCCTCCAGAGGCCATTGAGCAACTCCACATCACCTGCAAATGCCGCAGAACGCATTTTCATGTCCGAGAATGCGGTCGACTTCAACAAACGCTTTTCAACCAAGAACCTACCGGTCTACGATCTCGTTTACGACCCCACAAATCTGACCATCCGGTCTTCTATTCCGAACATCCCGGATCTCGGATACTACTCTTTGGAGACCTCGCCGTGGTCCCGCGTCGAGAGTCTCAACATTCACCAGCGCCTCCTGAGCACATACGCCGAAACCAGGCTGCGTCCCCTCGAACTCGAGCGAACATGCAAGACTAGTCGCGGCTGGTGGATCGTTTGGGTACGAATCACTGACGCACAACTCCCGGACCATCAAGACGATCTCAATTCAAGTGTTAGCAAAGGCGAAGGCTGTTCTCCCCCTCCCGCGCGGGAAGCATTCCTAGTCCGCAAAGCGAGCGACCACGTCTCGGCATCGGGGCATGCTCGCGGTGGCAGTGGAACACGATTCTTCAGAGATCTCGGTGGTGCATCATCACCGGGACTGCAAGCCTCCCGCTCTGAGACGGGGCCGGGAAAACTTATAGAGGGCCTGAGCCTTGATGCGAGACGATATATAGAGAATCTATTAAGCCTGAACAGATAATGTCATATACTCGGGTTTAGGAACTTTCTCTCAGATACCACATTTCTTCTTTCTGTATTCACGCAAAGGCACTCAACATTGAAAAGAGAAAGTCGGTAAAAAATACACGGCAGTGTCGACATGACTGCAATTTGATAAGTGACAGCACGATCTCTGTGAGTATCTAGTTGGACTAAATCAGCCACCCCTTGGTCTATTAGCATAGTATCGGGCTCGCAGCAGAGCATAGCCATGCATTTATCTATTTAAATCAAGCACTATTGGGGTCTCCACTCATTAGACTGGCACCAGCCCTATTGGGAATGACACATAATCTGCTTAGTACTACTAGTTACTCTCCTGTAGACTACTTTTCGGACCGTAGCAGACTCTAGACGGTCGACTTTAACATGACTCTTCTGAAGAACGCTACTATCTACTCCGTGGATGCAGGGATGGGCCTGACTCAGGAGTAATCCTGCTTACCAGAATACTAAAACTGTAGCAATACAAGTGTGTTGTCATACTGTCTAGTTCTTCTGAAGACATTGCTCAAACATACCCGTGGTAAAGAGAAACAACTACAATGTAAGATCATATCACTCATCAATGCCTACCTTGGACTTAGGTTGCTAATACTCTACGTTGTCAATTGGAAGATATAAGCAGATACTATCGACGCGGAAAACAGGCAGTACATAATTAGTACAAAATGAGTAACAGCATTATTATTAGTTGGGAGCCTGAGCAGGTGACACTATTGCAACCATCTGTGTTGAGATCACTCGGACATCCTGGGACTCATGGAGAATAGGACAAAACCTAGATTGACTGAAGGATGCGAGCGTCAACGATCGAAGACAGTTTCATGCATTCTCTTTAACCGAAAAAAGGAAAGTATGAGACCCTTGCTGGAGTACCCGGTGCGATAGGTATCGTCTATCATACCACGAGATTCCGACTCCCTTTCTCGATCAATTTCTCAGAGTATGTTGGCGGGACACACGCGACAGAACGCCATCCTCAAATTGCTCGCTTCCGAACCATACGCCCTCACAGTCGTGGGCCGCCCCTTTTTTTCCCGTTGCTTGCTAGGAACCAAGCAATATTTCGCTGCTACAGCAGCCGGGCAGCCCTGTAGACGCTAGGAGAACTTGAAGCGAGAAAATAAGGGAAACCCACGAGGTTATGAAGACAACGCCTCCCTAAGAAAATAATAGAAGACTGCAAAAGAACAAAGTCGACCAACTGCATAGCCAGATAATTCCCATGAAGCTCATGTGCCCGTAGTCGAACATCATCCACACTCGCACACAGGCACATCTGCACACGCCAACCGGAGAGAACCCCCTCTCAGTGAAAAGAAGCAACCAGATATTGGAGACGCTGATCCGTTGATAAAATCTCCGAATGTAACAGACCTTTTGCGAAGGAGACGAAAACTAGTTTACAAAATAGTGCACCCCCTCTTCTTCTTGTGGGTCTTGGTCAAGAGGGCAGCCCGGGTGGCAGCCTCGAAGACCTCACGGACACCCTCGTTGGTTCGTGCGGAGCATTCGAGATACTTGTAGGCTCCAATCTTCTTGCGAACTTCCTCGCCCTGGACGAATATGTCAATAATCTATAGAGCAAGTTCATGTCCGGGCAGGTCACATACCTGTTCAGGAGTGACTGGCTTCTGAGAGGTCTTGTGCAGCTCCTCAATGGTCTTGGGGTCATGACGAAGATCCTTCTTGCAACCGACGAGAATGATGGGGAGGCCTTGGCAGAAGTGAAGAACCTCGGAGATCCACTATGAACGCTGTCAGCCCCTGTGTACGCGCGCATGAATCACTTTCCCCCTCTTCCTGGGTGAAAGAAAGGGACGCCTGGGCTATTGTTCACCTTCTCCTGGACGTTGTCAAGGGAATCGGGGGAATCGATGGCGAAGCAGATCAGGATGACGTGGGAGTCGGGGTATGAAAGAGGACGAAGACGGTCATAATCTTCCTGACCAGCAGTATCCCAAAGGGCAAGTTCAACATGCTTGCCATCGACCTCGACATCGGCGACGTAGTTCTCGAAAACAGTGGGGACATAGACCTGAAGAATTGTGGAGTGTCAGATGACAGGAGTCATTCGAGCACTGAACGATGAAGTTGACTCGAATCGAGCAGCAAGCACCGGTAGTACGATTATAAACGGCAAGGCTGGGGAAAGCTAACCTCAGGGAAGGTTCCCTTGGAGAAGACACTATCCAAAGAAAATCGGATTAGCTCAAGTAAGAGAAAAGCTCGGTGCTGCCGATGATCATGATCGCCATAGGCAGGGAGAGTATATGAAACTTACATCAGAAGACAGGTCTTACCACAGGCACCATCGCCAACGATGACAAGCTTGCGGCGGATTTCAGCCATCTTTAAAGGAGACAATGATCAGCGAATGATTTAGAAAATTTAATGATGACAACGCAGAGACGATGGGATGCGTTGATGAGAAGTAAACAGCAAAGGAGGCAGGAGTACTGTTGTAGGTAGATAAGTGATGGAATAGGCGGAGGGTGGTCGAGAGTAGAGAAAGGGACAAGTCAGGCGCCCGGGAGCAAAAAGGGTTATCACATACAGTGCACGGGAGCAACAAGCGCAACGGCGTGGAACACTAAAAGATAGAGGTATTGAAAGGAGAAGAAGAGGAAGGAAAGACAGAGAGGGACTGCGAGCTTTGAATTAATTTGAATCTATAGATGGAGAGAATCCAAAAAAGACTGGGATGGAAAATGGATGGTGGATGGTCTTCGATGAGGAAAGATAGTTGTTGATGGTGGTGGTGTCAAGTTTCGATGCTAAAGGGAAAGAGAGGTTTATCGGCGTTAATAATGAGGTTAGGTTGGCCTAAGGACTCGCTCTCATTTCTTTGGGCGCTGTTTCGTTTTTCCCCGGCTGGTCCTCTTCCATTATTAGGTATTATTAGTCCCGTCCTCATGCTGCTGACTACTCCGTATTGATGGACAATAGACAGGACCATGAAACGAGTTGGAAGTGAAATGGATGTAATTTTACCAGACCCATCTGTGCACAACAGTAACCTTACCTACTAAGGTAAATATGTGGCTGAGCCAGGCGGTGTTTGTTCTTTTCCTGATTGTGCATTGTATTTACAACCAGGACTTTTCATGCGTATAATATTTACATACTCTGTGCAGTTGCCATACAGTCAGAATCTAAGATGATAAGGGCACTATATCAAAGTCCTTTCACTCATTGTCTCTGATATAGAGATGCTCTGCTTGATTATGTTGAGAATAAGGACTATCTTCCCACATTCAGCTGCCTCAATCCGCTGTTGCCTTGTCCCCTTATTGAAGCCACCGTGGCTGAGACCTAATTTCCTACTCCACTTAGATGATACACACTAGTACATGGCCATGAAGCTTGGATACTGTACTGTACCTTATGTCTCAATGTAAGAGTTGCTCAACGGGATACTTTGGATTTCTCCACAGACAGGAAATAGGTGGTTGAAATTATATCTTCTCTTATATAACTCAAACTTGATCTCCAAAGTATTGAGTGTTTACAACTTGGTATATGTCATCAGTATTATTATTGCTTCACCGATTTATTTCATGGATAAAGATCTTGACGGTGGACCTGGCTTGGGAGGACTGGCTTGAGAGGATCAGGCATCTAATTGGTTCTTTCTATGCCGGCTCACTCTGGCTCGAGATCCGGAGCTCTTCATCTGGGGCATCAGCTCCTCTGAATACCTCACATGTCAGCATGAAGATAATTCTATGATGGTTAGCTTGGGTAGGGTATGCCGTAGAGGATTGTAATATTAGTCTCTTTAGCATGTTGCTTCTTGCTTCACCAAAAGAATTGGTTAAACCGAGCGCAGGAGTCCGTCTAGAATGGAAAGGCCATGCGTGTCGTTAATCTGTACCTGTACAATGCCACAGTACTGGGGATAATATGTATTCATTTGGCTTCTGCTGGTATACTTGATAGTGGCTTACCTGATGTTCCAGACCTTATAGCTGTTGCCTTGAATCGACATGAGACCGATGACCGCACGGGATCTGCATTGGCTGGTTTGCAAATGCGCAGACACACCGTTTTCATGTTCGGTAGAGATATCCATGCCAAGTCCAGGTCTAAGCAGGGCGTTGCGTTGAGGTGTTATTATTGATTCCTTTCCATCCTGATTGCCTTGTCAGTTGCCATGGATGCTTGTTTTCTTTGAACTAACAGATTATTAGGTACCGGTATCTTACAATATTCGGTACAAAGTGGTCAAAACATACGTGGCGGTGCATACTTGTCTGCCATAGCCCCCTATCCATCCCATACACACTAACGTCATCTATTGGAATCGGCTACCCCTTTAGATTTGCGTTCTCCTAATAAAAGAATAACTCCTTCAATCAGCCCTGAATACTTCGTACAGAGAGTAATCATCTCTCAATGGAATACGCAGCCACAGACAAAAGAAGGGCGAGCAGAAGTGCTGCATCTTACATCACTTTTCTCGCACCTTGATAGGACGTGTGGATCAATGCTATTCCCGAACAACAGCAGACGCTTGGTCCAAAAGACGATCCCTTCATGCTTCGCGATTTGTCGAGCGACATTTATCACTACATATGTGGTCATGCTTTGGTTGAAACGAGTGCGCATTACACGTCAGAGCTTCAGTGGCCTCTGGTTCGTCAGAAGCCTCTCCAGGCCTTTGCCTCATTATGCCAGTGGTAGAATGGGGTTGCTCCGCTGCAAGCTGTATTCCGGATCATGGAGATGAGTGACCGTCCTTCTTGGAATGGATCAAGGTCGAATGCAACGTGACTGTCTACAGTGCTTGGTTCTTAATTGCAAACAGTTTCATATCAAAACAGGGTGCTGTCCATGCTGATTGATATACACTTAGCTTAAGGTAAACTGTATCTACACATGACCGCTCTTAGCCTTATCACTCCGAGAGAGGAACATCTCTGGTTGGTGAGCATTTCCGCTTGAGATGTAAGGAGTTCGGCTCCATGTGATAGGCCATTGCAACAGGTCTATGGCGAACCCTCCGGCATGAACCTTGTTCCTCGCAAAGCGGTAAAGTCAATGACTGTGAGAGGAACTCGGTTCGTCAGATTCTTCACATGCCACATCGTCTCCATGAGGCTGGATTTTCTTGTCGTCTCACCTCTCTTGCGATCCACGTATGTGACAATGGGCGTGCTAGCCAAGTGGAAAGCCTCGTCCCTGCACACTTGAGCTCGTTCGAGTCGTCCCTGGTCATAGACGAATAGCCATCAATGATGGCGCAATCTGGTGTGATTGTGGGTGTAAGGCCCTGCATAGAGTCCGGCTACTATTGAGCTAGCCTGGCTTGACGAAATGCTTTTGATCGAGAGGAAAGCGCTATAGAGCCGGGAAGAGATACTATTATACCGGGAATGCAATCATTCTATTGCTCGATGCCGAGCCTATACACTCTAGACAACCCTCTGGCTGGTTATTATTATTATGCTCTCTGGGCAAGGATTTGGTGGGAGTAGAAGATAAGATCCAGCACTCGTACCATAGCCTTTAGAGAGTTCTAACTGAATGCAAATCTGGAACTCATTCATAATATATATTTCATCGGTATCTTCTGTTGTAACCAGTTACAGATATAAAAGAATCGATAACCAGCAAGAAGTTGTCCGGGGAAGGGCTCGACTCACTGGTGCAGAAGCATCCAAATTGACAGAGCAGCACTAGATTTCAGAGACTGCAGACAAAACCATCTGCTCGCTGTTATTGATAACGCGTTGACAGGAAGTACAATATCTGACGCCTCCCATTGGTTCTTCTTAAGTTCCGCGCATTTTCGGTCACGTGCACTGAGAAGCCGCAATTTTCCCTTCCCGAGTGATATCTCAGGAACTGTTGGTGATCCACAATTGGCCATTGCTAGGACAGCATCATTCAAGATGCAGAAAATTATCCGGAGGACAGCCCTAGCGAGGAATCAGGCCCAGCGAAAGGCGATCCGAGCGGCCAAGGCCGCCGAGCGCGAAGAATTCAAAGATGCATTGAGACAGCGATTCGCCTTTAACCGCATAGAACTCGACAATGTCCGCGCCGAGAGAATACGACGCCGGGAAGACTGGTTGCGAGGGCCTCTCGCCCCGAAGCGCGATGCAGGCCTCGATGGAAAGACTTTTGGTTCTTTGAGCCCACAGGCGATGAATCCTCCGACCATTCCCAAGCACTTGCGCAGGAAGTACATCAATATTGCTGCGGGTGACCGGGTGTGTATCATGAAGGGCAGAGACAAGGGCAAGATCGGCGAGGTCATTAAGGTGGACCCAAATAACGAGACTGTTATGGTCAAGGACCTCAATATGGTGCGTTCTTACGGTTGCATACGATCCATGACTACCTACTAAGATCGGCGGTTTCTGCAGGCCGATGTGCATTTCCCCGAGTGGTTGAACGAGCAGTACGGAAACAAGACCCCCTTTAACTCAGTAAACCTGCCGATTTCGCTTGATGACGTTCGACTCGTGGTTGCGCTCGACGACCCGGAGACGGGCGTCACGCGGGACGTCTTGGTTGAGCACGTCTATGGAGGAGAGCCCATACTCGAGAGAGAATACGGCACAGACACCCCAAAGCACACGAGATATATTGCCGGCGAGGACATAGAGATTCCGTGGCCCCGCAGTGAGCCCGCAACAATGAAGGATGAGGAATGGGACACACTCCGTATGGAAGTTGAGACACCGACATGGATTCCTTCGTTGCACAACGCCCCGTTCCCTCCTAGCGTCCTCGATGAGCTCCGCAACCCATTCTCCAAGTACCGGACGAGGCACAACCCCGAATGGGTTGAATCGAAGAAGATGGAGGACCTCAGAAAGGAGTATCTTCAAAGCAGGTCTTTGATGACGCCCAAGGGGGAACTCCTCGCCATGCTGCGGGCTAAGAAGGCCGAGAGTATGAGCGCCAGACGGGACGCCGACGGAAACTTCATTATGGACGACCAGACGGCTGGCTTCATCGCGAATTTCATGCAACAGAATGCAGCGAAGAAAGCTGGGTCTTCTGCTTAGATTCCATATGACGTTCTGTTGGGGATACTGTATTCAACCTTTCTTTCTTGGGATCCAACTGCGTGTATACAATTGTACTGTAGCATAAGACAATAAGACCAATTTGACAATAGAAACCAAATATTTTGTCTGCTCAATGCGCAATGGCATCATTTGGTTGCGATGCAACACAATGGCTACCTAATAGCTTATCAAATGAGCGACCATAGCATGGACACCATGGAGATAGATGAGCGTCATCTCGAGCGATTTGCCGCCGGGGATGGCCCGTGGTCCTTTATCCCATCCCATCTATCCGCACTTCGATTTTGTCTCTCTCATCCTTTCTTCTAAGGCCTAAAAAAGTTCAGCCCCGTCTTCGCTATTTCTTTCTGTTATTTGGGGCTGTAGCTTGTAATTACATCGTCATGTCTTTTGCCACAATTAACCGATCTGCTACGAAGACTCTTTCGGCCAGTATCCCTACAATTGAAGATGCCTTCGCTGCTGAACCTTCTTTGAAGAAACGGGTTTATGATGCGATTGGTACGCACACTCTCACAGTCCTGGATTTCCGTCAGGCATCTGCGATTACGAGATGCTAATGGGAAATATAAGCTAACATTTAACATTTTTTCCCCTTAACAGAGAATACCCCGCAACATGTCCCTCTCTTCGAGGATATCGCTAAATATA